AGAGTCCATCGTCTCTCATGGTTCGTCTCCCCCTCCGATGTCCCCCCTTCATTCTTCCCCTCCTGCTATCTTCTTCTTCTTCTCTTTTTTTTTTTTAACATATAATGTATTATTTGTTTCAGAGGTACAGATCTTTTAGAAGGAAGATGATTTATTCTTTTGGCTTAGAGGTGACATCAGAGCAGAAGGTGTTCGGAAGTGTGGCCTGCAAGGTACTAACCAAACACAGATGGGTCCCAATGTGTACTGTTTGCTTGAGTTCTACTCTTCTTTTCCTAGTTCCATTCTGGTTCTAGGATTATCCACCTATATCCACCTCTAAACAATGACGGCCCTTCTGTTTGCTTCATCAGAATCGAGTTCTGAATTTAGGCCAAAATGTATTTCAGTCTGTTCCTTGACACACAAAGTAGCTATTTGTTCCCAGGTCACAGTGATAAGAAATCTCTGTGATTCGTTTTTCTTACTCACATCTCTGTTTCAGATGCCTGCTCCCAGTTTGTGAACCCTTTGAGAAAAGGACTGTGTCTTTGCATCACTTGATTCTTGCCTTTGGCAAAATCCTTGGTATCTAGTAGAAGTTCAGTGAGTGTCTTCTCTTTTGCCAGGTTTTTGATTTAGTGTGTACCTTCCTCTGGGTCAGTTTGGTTTTATCACAGATCAACATCTGAAAGTCTTTTGTTAATATAATATATATTAAGAGAATTTTTATCTAAAGCCATATAGTTTTATATAAAAAATAGGGAGGAGAGACCATCATTACCATAAAAGCTATAATCCAGCTTTTCCCACTCTATGGAAAAAAAATAAAGCCTTATGGGAATTATGTCCATAATTTTGGAAAAGAAAAAAATTGTTTTTAAGAAATTGGAGTGGTCTGGTAACAGTATTGTACCAATGTCAATGCCCTGGGTTTGCTTTTGTCCTACAGTGACTATATGCCATCATTTGGGGAAGCTGGATGAAGAATCCACAGCACTCTACAGTTTTTTCAACTTCCTGTGAGTCTATAATTATTTCACAACACAAAGTTAAGAAAGAAGAAATAGGAGAATCAGTTAAACTTAAGGATTTGTTGCTCTTGAGATGATAATAATTTGGGCTGAAATCTGAAAAAGAGGAGTTACGCAGGAAGTAGTAGGAGTGGAGAGATAGGTCATAGGGAAGGAAGGAGAGATTTCAGGTGGAGGAAATAGCCTGTTCAAAGAGAGTTTGAAGTGCAGAAAGAAGGACGTTGTGGTTGGAGCTGGCTGAACGAAGCAGAGAGTGGCATGAGGCACCTTGCCGGGGGTGGGTAAGCACAGTTGCCTGCTTTCTTCTGGGAGCCCTCCCTGACAAAATGGAGTTTGGGAGTGTCTGAAGTTGAGGACCAGATCCTGAGCTATGATGACCATCCCCCACCTCAAACCCCAATCACCACACTGTAAGGAGAAGCCTAAGATACCCAGGGAGGCCACATGACTTAACTCAGCTGAGCCTCCAGCCCACAGCCAGCAGGAAGCTCCAGCCATGTGAGTGGGCATCTCAGACATCCAGCCCAGTCAAGTCTTCAGATGCAGACACAACCAGCATCTCACTGCACCCTCATGAGATGAGAACCACCTCGCTGAGCCCAGTCAATTCAGAGAACTGTAAGGGATTATAAAAACCACTGTTTTGGTTCGCCTGGGTGGCTCAGTCGGTTATGCATCTGACTCTTGATCTCAGTTCAGGTCTTGATCTCAGGGTTGTGAACTCAAGCCCCGCATTGGGCTCCATGCTGGGTGTGAAGCCTACTTAAAAAAAAAAAATAAAAAACCAAAAACCATTGTTTTAAGCCACTCGATAGCTAACAAGTAATAACTCTTCCAGAGCCTGTAAAGGATTTTTCACTTACTTTAACTCTCTTGATCTTCAAAGGTATCCCTCTAGGCTGCAGTGTCTTGGTGGGCACCTGGTTCACCGTGGACTCCAACACCTGTAGCAGTACCTGGCACGTTGAAAGTCCTCAATAAAAGTGTATGTTAAATGAAACAAAAAAGTGTTGCTCTTTAAAAAAGATTAAACAAAAGATTTTCAGGGAGCACCTTCTGCACTTGTTGTCCTCTGTTCCACTTGGAACTTCTAACATCAAGGTGAAAGACCTCTGCCCTTGGAGCCTGGAGAAATCAGAATAGCAAAGAGAAAAGCAGGAATGCTTCCAGGTATGTACAAAAGGCAAAGGTACATGATGAAATATTTTCACCTGGCCTCTTTCAAAAGAGCCAGTCTTTTTTTTTTTTTTTTTTA